TGAATTTAATAAAAATACATGGGAAATTAATGCCATTAAAATTACTTATAATTAACTAGTATTAGAAGAATTAAATGGTTCAAAAACATCTCAAAACCCATATCCATTTCAACAAACCATAAATCTTCCAAGTTGTATTGTAAGAATTATTTGTGATATTTCACAATTAGATAATGTAATGAATAACCTTCCAAAACAAAAATTACCTAAAAATTGTTTATTAGAAGTACATAATGGTCCAATTATTACTCTATACCGTAATGATGAATGGGTTTTTGGGTTTAAAAATGAATTTATCACAATGCATATGCAAGACCTTAAACCATTTATTGAAAAAGCAAATCAATATTCAGTTGAAAATATTAGAATTATAGATTTTATTAATCCAGAAGAACCAGCTGAACCATCAAATTTCTCTATTTTACTTTCTGTTAAGAAATTAATTCTTCAAGACCTTAATTGTCCAATTATTGAACTTCCAAATTCATTAGAAGAATTAACTATTACAAATTGTTCTGTTACTTCTCTTCAATTAAACCAAAGTAATTTAAAAAAAGTAATTATTGAACAATGTGCTGATCTAAAAACATTAATTATAACTTCCCCAATTATTGAATGTGAAGCGGTTTATCTTAAATCATTACAAACATTACAACTTCCTAATTCTCTTTATTCATTAAAATTAAATAATTCTTCTCTACCAATTAAATCTTTTCCACCTAATCTTCAATACCTTTCTCTTCCTTCTATTAAACAATTAAATCAATTAGAATTCCCTCAACAATTGAAAGAATTAACCATTAATTCTTGTTTTATTGTTGGTCTTCCTGCATTAAATGTTAATTCTATTATATTTTTTCAATGTACTTTTGCAAAGAAAACCTTTGTTAAAGCTAATTCTATTACATTAAATGGATGTTATTTTGTTTCAAATTTAGATATTGACTGTGATTCAATTTTTATTACTGGATGTACTACTTCTACTTCTTCTCAAGTTGATACTCTTATTGAATACAATACACATAATGCAAAAGTTGTTCATATTTCATCATTTAATGGAATAAATAAATTAATATCACACTCATGTAAAGAATTAAAATTAGTAAATAACTCTCAATTATCAGAAGTTGATGCTGAATGTGTTACTTCTTTACAACTCATTCATACTAATATCACTAAAACAACAATAAATAATTTAGAGTCATTCGATATTGATAATAATTCTTCTCTTCCTCAATTTTATACAAAAGGAAGAGGATCGTTACGTTTAGAAAAATGTAAATTTGATTGTAATTCACAAATTCTTAACTCAATGATAGATATTTCATTAAATGAAGTTGATATAGAAAATATTAATATTAGTACTTGTAAAGGAGCTCGTTTTTATAATTGTCCAACATTAAAAACTCTTTCAATAAAGGAAGCAGAAGTTGTTATTTTAGTAAATTTACCATTATTACAATCAATTTCATTACCAAAGTCTTTAAAAAATATTGTTATTAATAATTGTCCAAATATTATTAATATTCCTTTACCTTTTACTTCTGCACTGACTGTAGATTATAATGGCTCTTTTAAAGCATCAGAGCAAATTCAAATAAGAAGAGTTAATGAAAATGAAATTACAGTTGATTCTTATTGTGTTCAATTAGAAGATATTTCAAATTCAAAAGTTATTCTTGGAAAGAATGTTCATATAATTATTGGTGTAGGTCTTAATAATGTATCATTTATTAATCTTGAAGAAAGTAATATTCAATCTTTTGATTTAAGTATGTCAAATAATATGAGTCTTACATTCCCACAAACCCTTACATTAATTAATATTATTGGCTGTCAGTCTGTTCTTTGTACTAATATTTCATCTTGTCTTCTTGTACCTGAACGAATTAGAAAAGATTATTCTTCAAATAAATATGAAGAAGTTCCAAAAGATAAATGTGTTATTTGTTAGTCAAAGAAATTTCAACACTTAATTTATTAAACTATAAAACACTTTTATTTTAAATAAAATTTAATTAAAAAAGTTTTTTAATTATTGGTTTCTGTAATGGTTTCACTTGTATTTTCTTCTTCATTATTATTTTCGGTTTGTACTTCAGCAAATCCAGAAGAAGTAGCTGTGGCTTGTGCATGAATTCCAAAATTGGACTCAATACTGGCTTGGTTTTGAGCTTCAGTAATATCTTCAATAGATTGTCCTTCAGCAGCTGCTTTTGCAACTACATTAGCCTCAGCAATAGCTGTCTCTGAAACTCCAGTTTTTGGAGAAGCATAGTCTTCTGTTGGTGTAACAACAGGTTGTCCAGATTGATCTACTACTGTAGAAGAAGATGGTTTTGATGAATCTGAATCTGAGTCTACTCCTAAATCTGATCCACCATTTCTGTTATTATTAACGTTGTTAATATTAATAGATGGCATAGTGATTGATGGTATGCTACTTACACTTGAGGCTGCACTAGAAGCAGAACTTGCTGCAGCACTACCAGAATAACCTTGGATGATAATTGGTGCTTGGGTAGCTGGAGCGGTTTGAATAATTTGTGGTGAAAAAGTTTGTTGTTGTTGCTGTTGTTGTGGATAATAAGAAGGAGTAACTGGTGTGACTGGGTTAACAGTAGGAGTAACGGGTTCAGAAGGTGTGACTGGATTAACAGTAGGAGTGACTGGGACAGTAGGAGTAACTTGTGTATATGGAACACTATAGCCACCAATATTATTGAAGACAGGATTGACATTAACACTAGAAGTACTAGTACCAACAGAGCCACTAGTACCAACAGAGCCACTAGTACCAACAGAGCCACTAGTACCAACACTTCCAGTACTTCCTAATCCAGTAATGCTTGTGCTTATAGAAGTTCCAATGGAGGAAGTTGATGAAGAACCAGAAGAAGAACCAGTAGATAACCCAGGCTTTATATGTCCATGTTGACATTTCTTACAATGACTGTAATAGTGGGTATGAGGAGGGTTTGTGTGTTTACAACATGAACAATTGCAACACTCTTTCCAATATCTTCTCTTCATAAGTTTATAAAACTCTCTTCTCTTTTTAGGAAGTTTAATTTTAGAAAGGTATTTCAGCAATTTCTTATCCATAAATGATGCCCATTTCTTTTTCCAAACTTTTGATATATCCTTTCCTTTCTTAGCAAGGGCTGCCATCTTAGTTGCCATCTTAGCACCAGATTTAAAGATAATACTTTGGATAAGCTTTTTATTTTTCTTAATGAATTTTTTATCTTTAATTTTAGCTAACTCTTTAAGAACTTTCTTTGGAGCGTTTTTGGTAACTTTAGATAACTTTTTAAGTTCAGAAATAAGTTTTCTTTCAGCCTTTTTCTTTTGAGCTTTTAATTTAGTTTTATCAATACTATTCTTTTGCTTTTCTTTTTCTAACTTTCTCTTTTCTTTTTCTGTTTTTCTTTCTTCTTTTTTAGCTACTTTTCGTGATTTTTTAGCTTCTTTTATTGCTTTTCTATTTTCTTTTTTAATTTTTCTCTCTTCTTTCCTTATTTTACGTTCTTCTTTTTTAGCAAGGCGACTAGCTTTCTTTTGTTCTTTTATTGCTTTTCTATTCTCTTTTTCTAATTTTCTCTTTTCTTTTTGAGCTTTTCTTTGTTGTTTTAATACCTTTCTTTTCTCTTTGTAGGCTTTTCTTGTTTCTTTATTATATCTTTTTTGTGTTTTAGTACGTCTACTATCCTTTTTAAATGTTCTAGAAACACCAACTCTAGTACGTCTAGAAGAACTTCTTGATGAGCTACGTGAAGAACTTCTTGATGAGCTACGTGATGAAACTCTAATTCTTCTTGCCTCTTCATCATCTCCATAATCATCTTCTAATTCGTCAATATCTTCTAAGTTTTCATCATAGTCTTCATCATATTCAAAGTCTTCATCGAACACATCATCAAAATCGACATTATCGACAAAAACATCGTCTTCATATGCTAATGAAACTGTTAAGCAGAGTAACAGTAATAAGCCTTTCATTAATATTATAGTTTTTTCAGTTTCTCTTTTGTTGTTCTTGAGTTTTACTCAAATAATTGTTTCATTTTTAATAATGTTCTTTATTCCATAAATATCTCCTTTTCCCATTATTTTTCTTATATCTTTCGTCATTTAAACTCAAAAGATTTACGTTAGAACTCATTATATGAAACATTCATTATTCTTTTTTTAAAGTTCTGTATGTTAATATTCTACATAACTATTTTTACATGCATTTTTTGTTGTTTGGTAGAAATTTATTGTAATTCATTAAAATTTAATTCTTTTTCTCTTATTTGATTATTTCAGAAAATTCATAATTAAAAAACATAACTTATTGTATAATACTTTTTGTTTTGTATTTTATAATTTAAGCTATTGAAAAAAGTTTTTAAAAAACAGGTTTGAAGATGAAATGTCATAGATACTAAACACAAACATTAATACAAAATCAAAAAATGAATTATCGGTTATTATATGATTATGATGTTATATTTAAATATGAAATATAATAAATAATAATACACAGAATGAAGTAAGATAATAAGAAAGAATAATAACAAATGAAAATGATATAAATGATGGTGATAATAAGAAATTAAATATAATGAAATAATCATTCAACAATAAATAAAAAATAAAGAAAAATAAAATAAAATCAAAGAAGAAGATAAAAAGAAGAAATAAACAGAAATAAGAAAGAAAAACAATCAAAACAATAAAACAAAATGAAATAATTACAAAACAAGAATAAAACTAAATAATAAAACAAAGAAATACCGAATTTAATGAAGTATGAAATGATTCATATTCATTAAACAATGAATAAATGATAATTCTTTTAACATTTATTTATCTATTTTTATTTACACTTATTTCTATTAAGTTATTTTTACAATTAACTTCATATTTTCTTATTTTAACTTTAATTTCTTCTCTGTTAATATTCCATGGTAGTAATCTGTTTTATCTTTATTATCACGATATTTATTCTTGTTTTCTTATTCATTTTTCTTTTCTTATTTCCTTTGCTATTTTTATTGTAAATTTTATTATTAATGAGGCATCTTCTTCTTTATGTTTTTGAATATTTTACTTTATTTGCTTTTCTATACAAAATCATAAAACATTATCCATCAATAATGATAATTTGATGTATAATTTACATTGAAAAAAAAATCTCTAAATAATAACAAAAATATAAAGAAAATATTACAAAAGAATAATAGAAAAGAATGAAAACAAGACTTAGTTTCCTTAATAATAACTTCGTTATTATCTTTATAAATGCTGATATTTAAATATGTTATATTAATACTGATTAAATTTTACTTCTACTACTGTTATTTTGTTTAAAATAAGAACTTCTCATATAAATTTGTTTTTATTCCTAAAATATTCCAAAATTCTTCTCACATTTATATTATAAATACCCCCTCTTTAGACATGTTGTTGTTGAATTTTTTCTCCACATCATTATTTTTATTGAATATTAAAAAAAAATTAGACAATATTGTCTTATTAATTGAAAATAAAACAATTTAATTCTTCTTAAAATACAGTGTTAAGTTAACTCTTTGAACATTCTGAATTAGTTGCTATTAGAAATAAACATTTTTTGTAATGTTATTAAGAGCTAATTCATACTAAAATATAAAATTGAAAGTTATTATCTTTTTTATTACAATTCCATTTTTTTTTCAATTTACTTATTAAATGAATAACTTGTTATTGAATTTGTTATAAACTTTTTAGTAAAAAGTAGTTAATTAAATAGTAATAGATTTATTTTATATTATCCTTTGCTCATCAGAGACTATTTACGTATTTGTGTTTTAAGAATGATTATTCATCAGTTATTCACTTATTCTTCAGTCTTTCATTGTTGAGAAGTGTGTTTTTCTATTCTTCATTCTTTTTTTTCTTTTATTGTTTTTTCATTCTTCTTTTTATTTTATAATTTGATTTTTACTGTAATTTTCATGACTTTTATCCTACTTTATTTTTTATTTATTGTTGAATGATTATTTCATTATATTTAATTTCTTATTATCACCATCAGTTATATCATTTTCATTTGTTATTATTCTTTCTTATTATCTTACTTCATTCTGTGTATTATTATTTATTATATTTCATATTTAAATATAACATCATAATCATATAATAACCGATAATTCATTATTTGATTTTGTATTAATGTTTGTGTGTGTGTTTTTCTAATTTATCAACTTAACGCCAAAGAAAAAGACTAAAATAGAACATATATTAAAAAACAGAATAATTTAAAAGATAGAACTACTTATTCATTTAAAGAGTTTAATTAACCTGAAATTAACAAAAAAGTAGTTAAATTATTTAATAAAACTACTAAGTAATTTACCATATGACCTATCGTCACCAAGAACATACCAACCATCCATAATTGTGCCATTAACAATTTGTGTAAATACAGAAGCGTTTTGAGTGGTTTCAAATATAAATGTTTTATATTGTTCATTTCTAAATTGTTTAATGGTAACAGTTCTATTAGAAATATCAGCAACAACATTACCATTTAAAGGAAATTCTTCTAAGACAGTTTTTTCTTTGGTTTTACCTTTTCTAATTAAAATAATATCATTACATAAATATACAATAGCGTTTTTCTTTTTTGATTCTTTTAATTCAACTCTATATTCTCCAATAAGAATTCTACCAAAAATAAAATATTCAGGTTTATCTAAAATTTCACAAAGCCTTTGTAAGTCATCTCGCATTTTAGTTCTTTCATCAACTACTTGTGAAAAGAAATGATATTCATCATATGACTTCTTTAATAACCCAAAGTCTTTATGTACTTTTTTAGTTGCTTTTATAAGTTCATTAATAAGCATAGGATATCTCATTGTTCTTTGGACTGGTTGAATAAGTAATTGTTCAAGTGTTCTATTATCTAACTCTTTTATTTTTAAATTATTTTCTATTAATTCAATAACACATTTATTCTTTTTAATTTCTTTCCATGTTTTTAACGAAATATTATAATCAGTAGTAAATACTAATAATGAAGTTACAAGATAAAATGATTCATTTAATCCCTCTCCAATTAATGTGTCAAATTTAAGACTGTCATATAATGCTTTAAATCTATTAGATATTTCTTCACTATTATGAAGACATCTATCAAATGCCATTGTAAATACATTTGTCACTTCATTTTCATTTAATAATCCTTTATTAGCCATTTCTTTTAATGGTATTCTAAAATATTTATCCATCAATTTCATGTTTTTACATAAATTTTCTTCTGTTTGAACAATTTCTTGCAGTACATTCTTTCTTTGGAGAAGATTATTTATTGAAAGTTCTCGTCTAATTAAAAACCCTCTTATAACTGATTCCATTTTAATTATATTATCTAATCTTTTTTGATAATTGGAGTCTGATTTAAATGTAATATGTTCACAAGAATTATTTGGTGTGGAAGAAAGACTAAGTAACGATTGTTCATGTAAATTTTGTTGAAGTTTAGGAAGATCAATAATTGCTGATTGAATTCTACTCTTTCTCCAACTTCTTTTCATTGGAGATATAATCCCATCTGTTCTTGACATTAATCCAATTGTTTTACCTTCATCTTTAATTGATAATTGTTTTGTATTAACTGATAATTGAGTAGATTTTGTTAATGAATTATAACTTGAAGTTAAATCAGGTGAACTAAATTGGATAGATTGTGGTATTATTGAATTACTGTCTGAAGGTTTTCTTCTAAAATATCTTGAACTAGACGGTTTTATAATTTCAATTGCATCAACTGAATTTTTTCTTGGAGACATTACTTCGCTTTCACAATTTCTTTGACTAATTTTTTCTTCTTTTTTAACTTCTACTGATTTAATTTCATTATTACTTGTTCCAAAAGACCAATTTCTTATTAATTCAATAACATGCGAATTTCTTCCTTTTAACTCTTTGCCTCTTTTTTCTATTTCTTCAAACATCTTTCTAAATGTCATTTTTTCTCCTGATCTATTTCTTGATATAATGCATTTGGCAAGTTCTTGTCCCATTCCTTTAACAATTAATCGAGTTGCTTCTAATTTATTATCAACCATATAATAATTCATAACATTTTCTATATCAATACCAGCTCTAAGTAATGGCCCCGCTTTCATTACAATATCTTTAATATCTCCAACAACAAGAATATCAGGTTTGTCTGATAAATATTCTGTTAATAATGCAATCTCTTTCATTTCGTTTGAACTGAGATTAGCGTGTATTACTTCATTACATTCCCGTCTTTTTTCTCCAAATAATTCAAATAATATAGTTCCTCTTGACTGAGGATTATCAAGAACTTTCTTCTGAAAAGAGAACCGTTTGGTAGGGCTTTCAATGATAAATAAGCGATTCATTTGTTTACAAAACAAGAAAAACAAGAATAACAATTTGTAAGTTTCAATGGATTTTTTTTGAAATTATTTATTTTTATTTGTTTTATTTCCCTTCGATAGAATTTGTTATTTTAATTAAAATTTAATTATATTTTTTATTATTTTCCATTTTAAACTAAAAAATTTAAAAAGTAAAACAAAATTCTATTTCTATATTTAACACATTACGATAATCATCAATTACTTAGCGATCTTCTTGGCAAGTGCAGCTTTGTAGGCAGCAATGGCATTCTTAGCCTTATGAACCTTAATTCCAGTTTTATAAGCTCTGAGAGTTGGTTTAGACATAAGTTTTTCAGCCATTTTCTTAGATGGAATTCTGATTGGTTTCTTTTCAGTAATTGGTTCAACTTTCTTTCCGAAAATATCCATAGTAAGGTCTGGATATGCAGCTTTGAAAACTTTAGCTACTTCTTCATTTCTCTTAGCAACAAGGTCTTTGTATGATTTTCTGCTTTCAGCTTTCTTAGCAAGATATGCTTCACGATCCTTATTCAAGAATAATTTGGTGATAATGACATTTGATGGTCTAATAGCGACTGGAACAGTTTGTCCATTAGCTTTAGTCTTAGTTAACTTATCAATGTTAATGACATATTTGCTTCTTCTTACAGCAGTGACTTTACCAGCAACTTTTTGATGTCCTTTAATGATTTTGACTTCATCATCTTTATGAATTGGAATAGCAATAACGTTATACTTTTCTCTAAGTTCTTTTGAAAGTCTAGCACTCATCAAAATAGCTCGTTGACTTGCTGGAGCAGTGTAAAGGGCTTTTCTAGCTTTGCTTGGATTTGAACTGACTTTGCAATTGAATTTCATCGCCACTCTGTTTTAACGTATTAGTTCTTTTTCTAGTACTAGGGTAACCCTGAATTTCTCTCTTATTTTACTATTCTTCTCTAATTTCTTTTATTATTTCTTATTATTTCTCTCTTTTTCCTCTAAAATCATTTTAATTTTATTTTTGTTTTTCAATAACATAATTTCTTTTTTTTGTGTTATTATTTTTTTGGCAGAGAAAAATCTGGAAGATCAATTTTGGATGAACCACCAGATTGTTCTTGAAGTTGTCATTTGTTAATCTAGTAATAATCATTAGTTTCTATGAATCCTTACGAGGCATATCCTCCAATAGATAGAGCACATCCCATGAGATGGGCAGAAAATGTTCCAGGTCCTTACTATGTTTCTACTAACTGTGTTGATTGTGGAAATTGTTCACGTCATTGTCCTGGATGCTTTGCTCGTCATAGTTTTCCGAACCATTGGTATGTAAAACGTCAACCAGAAACTCCTGAAGAAGTGAAAAGGATGGAGAAGGCTATTATTTGTTGTAAAGGGAAAGCAATTATGAAAGTAGAGAATTGACCATTTCATCTTTCATTATTTTTTTAAAACAAAAAGAAATGAAAATGAATTAATTTAATCATGTTCATTTTTTTGTTGTTCAGGTATGTCTAAAACATTTAACTCTTCATCAAGAATTTGTAATGCATTTTCTTGTTGAGTTGATTTTTTTGTTATTGTTGCCATAACAAGAACAAAGAAAACACCTATAAGGTTCATCATAATTAGTTGTAGTGCTGGGTTCATAGAATAAATGATGGTACAAGAAGGTATCCAAATAATATACCCTCCAATTAATCCCATGATCCAATCATGGGTAAAATATTGTTTAATTAATGAAGAGGAGCATCTTGGTAATTGAAGGTCATTATTATAAATCCAATTAATCCAATAATTGACATGTGACATATAAAATAAAGTCCAAATAAACTGGTCAAACAACATTTTATAAATTACTTGTAAAATCCCTTCATTGCCGAAGAGATATGATTGAAATTTATAAAAAACATCTGACTGAACACCCTTGTTATTTAAATCTTTATTTTCTTTAAGTTATACTATTTCAAATAGAACAAACGACAATACCATATGCAATAAACATATAAATTCCTATACTCTTTATACTTTCTTGTTTAATAGATTTTTGAATAATAGCTACAATCCAAGGAATAATTCCCATGAATAAGCCAGTAGCTACAAAAGAATAGAAATATGATAATTGTAATTTTATTTTTGATAATGAAAGAAGAACTGAAGTTATTAATGGGATATTGTAGTATGATAGAACAATTAATATTTCTAAACTCAAGATAAGAATAGCTGGTTTTATATTTTTAATAAACACATTTTTTATTTCTTTCAATGTTGTGTTAATATTATTTTTAATCAAAAGAAAACTAGCTGGTGAAATGGTAAGATGCATTGTGTTAATCTAGTTTTAGTCATGCCGTTATTTTTGACTTAAATTCATGTTAATCATTTCATGTAAAATAATCGTTATATATAACAATTATTTTTATTTTAATAAAAAATAGTTATAATAATAGTTTTGAATGAATTTTATTATATTATTTAAGAGTTAACTTATAATAATTTTATTCTTTTTTATTTCATAGAGTATTTGTGGTAAACTACACATTAATCATTATAACATTTGTTCATAATTTATTGAGGTACTAATTAATATTTCGTTACAAATTAGTTTATCCTTTAGTTTTTTTTTATGTAGTGGAAAATCATTTTTGAATTGAGTTTATTGATAAATTCATTATAAGTGTTACAGTATTTTTATTAAATATTTTTATTATGCAATTTAATTAATTATTTATAGTTTTATTTTAATAGTCAAAATAAAAAATAAATCAGTTGTAGTATCATACAAGGATAATAAATAATGAATTTATTTATTCTACTTAATATTAAATTTAGTGTTTATTTTAGTGTTTTTGAAATTATGTTTAGTGTAATCATTTATTTAAAAGATATTGTAATATAAATTATATGTTGATATTAATATACTATATCAATTATATTTATTTAATAGTGATTATAAATCGTTTTAGTGTTATAAATTATATAGTTGCATTTACAATTTATATAAAAATACAAAAAAAGATTTTAGTGGAGTTATTAAATACAATTATCAATAATTGTATTTTGAATAACTTTAAATTGTTGTGACTGAAATAATAATTCGTTATAAATAAAATATTTTTGAAGAATATTATATTCATTTATTTTAATAATTTAAATAATTTTCTTACTTGTGATATTGATTATAATAATAATCAAACTGTAATGAATATATTCATCGAATTAATAAGTTTATCATTGGAAATATAAAATAAACATGAATTAATTTATCCTATTTAGTTGTATGTGAATAAATTGTTTAATGAAACAATTAAAAATGATAAATCAAACTCAATAAGTATGTTATCTGATTAATAACACTTCTTTTAAACAGTTTTAATTAAATCTAATCATTTAAAGACCAATTAATTAACAAAACAAATATGTTCTTAATTATGTTATTGAAAATGATAATTAATATAATAAATAAAAAGAAAAGAAACCATTTTTACAAAGATTAAAATCATTCTGATTATGTCTCTATTCAATGGTTAAGAACATATGAAAAAGGAGCATCATTATTCATTCATCCTCATGTTAGTATTGTGATTAGAGTTATTATGACATTCTTAATTCTTTTGAACATTGCATTATTAAATGCATCTAATACAAGTACAAGAGCTACAGTTAATACATATATCTCAATTGGAAATAGTCAAGTTATTACAATGCCAGTTTCTGATTTTAGGTTAATGAATTCAGTAGAAGATATGTGGACAGCTGGATTATCTACACTTCCTGTTTTAATTATGGTATTCTCTGGAATTTGGCATTATGCCAAATTAGTAATTTTATTATTCACATAGTTTATACCATCAAAATTGGTTGTTCCTAAAGTAAGAGATATTATTTTAAAAGTATTAGATGCGTTAGATAAATAGTCTATGCTTGGTTCATATGTTATGGTATTGATTATTGTTGCATTTTTCATTGACATTCCATTACCAATAAGACATCCAGAATCTATTAATGATCCAGTCAAGATCTATTTATATGTTTATCCCGCATATGGATTTGTTACATTGATGTTAAGAACTATTGCATCAGTAATTATGTCACATGTTGTTGTAGGTGTACATAATGTAGTTATTCATGATAAACAAAGTAATCATGGAGAAGATGTACTTAAGTAGAAACAGATATTCTTCTGTTGTAGATTCTTAGTTAAAAAGATCATTGTACCAATTTTCTTATTTATTTCATTCGTAGTATTATATGAATAGTCATGTGTTGGTGTTTTTGTAGTTTCCATTATTACTGCTATTGTTGAATTATCATAATTTGCGTTATTAATGGCTGTGCCATATTGTGTAGCTAAAATTCTACAAGTTGGAGCTAGCATTGATGATATTGTAGCAGAATTTTTTGGAGAAGAAGAACTTATTAATGGGTATGAAACATGTTTTGAAGGTAAAGCCAATCTTGCAGGAGGATGTTGATTATTATTTGTAGCGGTTATTATTTATACAGTTTGCTCAATTGCAATTATGAAAATTACAAAGAGAGGTGTTGCTAAAAAACTTTCAAGCAAAGAAGAAAGAACTGTAATGAATGGAAAAAAGATAGAAATGACAGAAAAACAAGAAGAAGCTGATAAAAATAACACAAATAAAGCAGAAGAAAAGAAAAACAACTAACACAGAAACAACTAAGAGTAGTCAGTAGTTTCTATGGAAGCTTTTTAATGAAAATAAATACAATCTTTTAAATTTATGAATAAAATAACTTCCTTCTTAACTTAAATAAATTAATTTCTTACAAGAACTAAATAATAAAACAATCCTTTTGCAAAGAAAATAAAAAAAAAGCAAACTAACTTGATGAAAGAAAATTAAATTTTATTTGGACTCATTATAAATAGGCTCTAATCCAGACTGGAAGTGTCTTAACTTTAAATGTCTTCCTCTAGAAATTCTAACTTTGGGAATTAAATCCCTATTCATATACATCTGTTCTAACGCTCTAACTGTATAATCAATATGCTCTTTAGAATATACGTTTCTTGGAACAGCAAATCTAACTTGGTCATTAATTCCTTTTCTATCTTCTTCATCTTTATTATCCCATTCAAACCCAAATGGTCCCAATTCACAAGCTCTAATTCCATACATTCTGATCATTTCAATAACTAATCCAACTCCAAGGAAATCTCCAGGAGAATAATTCTTTCTATTATTAAAGAATTTATCAGTTTCAATATAAATTGCATGCCCTCCTGGTGGTAAGAAAACTGGAATATTTCTCTTTGCTAACTCATACCCGAAATATCGTACTTGTTCTATTCTTCCTTTGAGATATGACTCTCCTTCAACAACAGATAAACCCATAGCACATGCCATAATATCTCTTCCACTTAATCCTCCATAAGAATCATTACCATATCTCAAAATTTGAAGTTGTTTTAAGACTACTCCAACATCACCTTTAGTACTAAACTTTCTCCAAAAAACTCCTTGATCTCTGAAAGCCAATGCACCTCCCATATTACAAACTCCATCTTTCTTTAGAGAAATACAAAATCCATCAACATAACTAAACATTTCTTTAACAATTTCTGGAATAGAAACTTTATTATATCCTTCTTCAAATTCATGAATGAAATATGCATTTTCAGCAAATCTTGCTGCGTCAAAGAAGAATGGAATGTCATACTTCTTTGCTAATTCAGAAGTTTCTCTTATATTCTTCATTGAAACTGGTTGACCAGCACCAGTGTTGTTGGTAATAGTCATTAAAATTAAAGGAATATGTTCTTTTCCCTTTTCATTAATAAATTCTTCAGCACGTTCAATATTCAAATTTCCTTTAAACTCATTCTTAGTCCAAAGAGTCTCTGGGTCTACTGGATCATGATAGTTCTTAGCAAACAAATTAACAGTATGGAATCCATTGTTTCTAGCATTAGCCTCAGTAGTATCAAACCATCCATTTGAAATTAAATGCCATTCTCCTTTTCCAAGACATTGAGACATAACTTCATATAATAAACATTCTGCACATCTTCCTTGAGGTAAGATAAAGAAATTTGGTCTTTCTATTTGAAGTCTTCCTTTATTAACAAAAGTGCCTGGAACTTCTGGTTCAGTCCAATATGGATCTTCTGGATTATTTGTGAAATTTGGAATACCACTAACAATATCTTTAACCACCCACCTGGCTTTATCCCCTCGTTCAAAGGCGTCTCTAACAGATTCTTGGAAAGCATAATATCCTTGATTTCTTCCATATGCTTCATCTCCTCTAAACAATGAACTCCATTGAATATCAGTCATAGCAGATGATCCAGAGTCGGAAAGATAATCTACAAGAAGCATTTGTGATGGGAAAAAGAAACAATTATATTCAGTTTGTTTCTGAATTTTTTCTCTTTCTTCTGGTTTAAGATCAGTTGTTTGTCTTACAACATATGAAACGTGTGTAGGAACTGGAACACCAAGTTCAGTAGATTGCTTCATAGTAATTAATTCTTAATAATTAAGTTCCTTCTTATAATTCTTTAAATACCTACTACTTATCTTCCTTTTAATCTATTGGTAACTCTATAATCATATTTTTAAGATTAGTAACTATAGAGTTTTCTTTTCTCTTCCTTTTTCTTATTTTCATTTATCAAAATACTTCCACAACAATCTAATAAGAACTAGAATATACTCTCATTAAAAGATGATGTTGTGTTTTTGAC